AGCCTTTATTTGTTGATATGAAGATTATTTGATTGTAATATTCATCGTTGAGTTGTTGATGCAGAAGTCATCGGATTGTAACTTCCATCATTGGTGTTTGATGGGATCAGCTATATGTAGTAATTTTTAGACAGCCTACAGTCATCTTCACAATCGGTGAACAAAATCTTATTAAAATCAATACTATTTTTTTTTCCAAAGCCTTTCGCAACTAATTTAGCGTTGTATTTCTAAATCTTTTTTTAGCCATCCTTTTTTTAACTTGAACACTCACTTGTTCTTCAAAGCTTTTCTGTGCTTTGGCAAGTCCACTAACTCATAAGTATCGTTCTTCTCAAGAAACTTCATCTCTTCCTTTATAGTTTGGAACTATTCGTCCTTTCCTTTATGTGTATGTGCCTCTTTAAAGCTCTCTGGCTCCCCCTCTTCTATTGACAAAGAATACTCTAAAAGATGATATCTCGTGAATGGTCGATGCTCTCTAGTTGATCTCTTAAGTTATGGCTTTGCAAACTCTTACTGCTGGTGATGCTCCCTCTGGTAAGGAGCCTCTTGCTCGTGATCCTGATCATCGTCTCTCTGCTCTGATATCTGATCGTCATTATTAACTTCATCATCATGCACCTGCTCTGTATCTATAGGATACAACTATACTGGAGACGAATGAGTGTCATATCTAGAATCTCACTAGCAACACTCTCTGACTGCTCTGCTCTCCTGAGATCTGCAATAATCTGATCCTTCTAAAAAATGACATCTACTCGTTTGATAATTCATCTCTTTTTTGAATCCCATTATTTTTAGTTGAACGTATTTTCTCCATGACCAAGGAAGATGCAAGGAACCGCCCTATCATCAAGCTTCTGTCTCTTCTCCTTCAAAATGTGTGCAAACATCTTGCACCAAACACCTTCAGATGAGAATAAGAAATATATTTTTGAAACCAAACTCTCTCTGGAATATCAAAACCCAAAGGAGCTAAATGAGACCTGTTGATTATGTAGCATGAGTGCGAACAGCTTCAGCCCAGAAGCTCTTAGGTAACTTCGTCATCTTCAACATACATCTGACTTTCTCTATAATGGTCTTGTTGTACCTCTCTGCAACTCTATTTTGTTGCTATGTGACGGGATCTGTCCTTTGATGCCGAATACCATGCTTAGAGTAATAATCTCTAAACTCAATGGAAGTGTACTCTCCTCCATTATCAGTACGCAAACACTTTAAGTTTTTTCGCGTCTATCTCTCCACCATGGTATGAAACTGCTAGAAGACTGAAAATACATGATCCTTTCTCCTTAATAAGAAGACCCATATCTTCTGTGATACATCATCAATAAATGTGACAAAATATTTATTGTCACCTAAGGACTCTACCTCGATAAGACCACAAACATCAGAATAAATCAAATCCAGTATATTATCTTTCTTCTAGAAAATTTACTAAAAGAAACTCTATGTTGTTTGCCAAACAAATAATAATCATAAGGGGTGAGTGACGAACCTTTAGCAAAGGGAATGAGAGACTTCTTTGCCAATATCTGTAAGTCCTTCTCGCTCATGTGCTCGAGCCTCCTATACCACAAACTGAGAGTGTTACTATCTTGAGCAATGCTTAAAAAATCATATGAAGCCTTCGCTTGAGTATTGTATAAACATACACTTCCTCTAACCACCATAAGAGAGCTTTTGGTGATTTTATATTTTCCTCCACCAAATTGAATTTCATATTCCATTCGGTCTAAGTAAGACCTGAAATCAAGTTGAGCCGTAAATTAAGAACATGTCGTACATTCTTTTAGACTAATGTGCATTCTGTATCTGTCTGTAAGTGTATATCACTAAGTCCTACAATCTTCGAGTAGCTAGTATTACCCATCTTCACATTGCCAAAGTCATCCGCTTTATATGACGTGAAAAGGTCTCAATTGGAGGTCGCATGATATGTAGCTTCTGTATCCAATATCCAGTCAGAATTCTGACTTGTAATATGCATACAATCTTCTTCCCTGAAGATGAGAATAACATCAGTCTCAGACAAAGTAGTTGTAGTTTCACTATCTACTTTTTTCTTCTCATCTTTCTTTTCATCTTTGTTCCCAGCTTGCTCTTTCTTTCATGCCAAACAATTTTTCTTGATATGACCCAGCTTTCCACAAGGAAAACAACCTCTCCCTTTAGATTTTGACCTGCCCTTGGATAAGCTACGACCTTTGGACTGGTCCCTGTACTTGCTCCTGCCCTGTTCTCTATGACAAGTGCCTATGAGTTATATGTGCTAGTAGACTTCCTCCAAGTCACCTCATTGAATAAACTGCTAGTAACTATACTCATCAATAACACACCATATGGAGCTGCGTTTCTAACCGTCATAATCAGTAATAAAGCCTGCAACTCATCATAGATAGTCATCTTCATGATAGCTAACTGATTAATCAAGCTCTTGAACTCATTCAAGTGTCCTGCTATGTTGCTTCCTTAATTGAATTTCAAGTTCACCAACCACCTCATAATAAATGCCTTGCTTCCTGTTGTCTTCTACTTGTAGAGATCCTCAAGATTCTTCCAAAGAGACTTCGCATTAGTCTCACCCGATACATGATGAAACACACTAACATTGATCCACATCCGAATATAACTGATTTTCTTCCTATGTTGTTTCTCACATTCTTTATTAGTCGTCTTTTCTGGCTTAGCGTCATCTCCCTCAATAGGGTTATGTAAATCTTTACAATACAAAATATCTTCTATCTTGGACTTTCATACTTGCCAATTAGAACCATTCAATTTCATTATTGTGCCCAAACTCTCCATCTTTTCCATCCCGAAGCACGCCTCGAACCAGGGCTCTGATACCACTTGTTATAGACTTTATGAAGATTAATCTGTAAAATTAAATACTAAACAAATAATTGCACAAATGAAAACATCACACACAAGCAAAAACCAAGATTTAATATGGTTCTGCAAATCATGTCTACGTCGACGAGGCAATCTAGAGAGCAATATTCCACTATCAATCAAGAGTATAATCGCTTAAAGTTACACCTGAACTTAAGGATCAAATCACAAAAAAGAAAAATATAAAATTACCTCTAGGGTACTAATGCCCTAAAACCCGTCTCACCACAAATCTCCAACTCCCGCAGAGAAATCAACATCGTACACTCAACGACGTCGTTGTTCTGAAGACAACGACGTCGTTGTTCTGAAGACAACGACTTTTGAATCACTACAATCGGACAACAAAAGTATCTGAAATCTAACCCCCCAGGTTACTATTCTCGGATTACACTGTAGCAAAAAAAAAAAAAAAACTCAGGACGATGATCTTCATATGCTCCAATTTTTTTAATAAAGGAATTTTATCCCTAAGTCCTCATTTTCTATTCGAATTAGGAGTAGATCCCTCAAATCCTTTTCTTAATAGGATACAACCAATTTGACCTAATTGTTGGGCTTTAATTGGGCTGAACCCACAACATCAATTACATAAATAATTTTCCTGAAATCAAAGGAGCTGTAGCTATTTCGGTATGTGTTTATTCTTTGGGGTCATGTATGCTACCCTGCCTCATAGTCTTATGACATGGAGGGGTCTTCATCTGGCCACCTTTTATTGTACCAAGTGTATATATTTATGCCAAGGCCTGCAAGAGGCTGACTAATTAAACCATGCCACTAGTTTCTCTAGACCTTAGTTTTATATAGAATTTTGACATTGATATAGACACGGGCATCTAATTATTCCAACGGAGTCTGCATCCCATATAACTAATAGTCTATTATTTTTATTGTTTTTTAAAGAAACAAGATATCAACATTGGTTTTTGTGAAGAATTTTGCTTGCTTCTAGCCTTCTAGACTTATTATCAAATAGATATGATTGGATTAGTTTCTTAATGCATATAATTAGGGTGTTATGCACACCCGAGGAACTTGCACCGTACCTCAAAAGATTACAGGCCTGATTTGATTCCACATTAATGATTATTTTATAGTTCTAAATAGTTTTGCTAGCACAGATTCATCGCATCAGTGAAGTATATATCAGAAGGTTTAGGAGAGGTTTTATGAGGTTTTGTCCACAGGCAATGTAGGAAAGCTAATTTAATTAGTATTTCAATTTTTTAATGCAAATCGATTGATCTTTTCTGACATAATTCCTGTGAGAGATCAAAGAAGAAAATATTATTTAAAAATAAACTGGAAGATGACTACACAATAATAATAATAATAATAATTAGTAAATTATAGTGTAGTTCTGTTGCAATATGATTTTATTAACGAAAAGAATGGGAGTTGCAACTTCTACTCGAGGAAAAAGGAAAAAGAAATCATATCTTCCATAATCAAGTCATAAATTAGTTAGAAAGTGAATGGATGGAAACTTCTGATAGTTACACACTACCACTGACCCTATTGGAAATTTAATTGATATCTTCTTCTTTTTTTAAGCTTGATTGAACAATTTTTAAAAAATATAATCATACCGAGATTGGCTCAAAAGCTAGCTTGACTAATTATTAGGTCTCATTGATGTTTCCACTGTATATGCATTAATTTTCATACGTGCACAGGGGACAAAGCTTAATTATGTCGGTAGAAGAACCCCTGATCTACTAATTGTGTACATAGTTACATTACTGTTCACCAATTTTTTAGAACGAATTGTGAGGTTGTAAATTATATGAAGAAAATCACAAAATAACAATCTCCAGTAAACATTATAATACAAATATAAACAAGTGTACAAGGCATCATCAAGCTTTTCTTTCACTAGTCAATTAATTAGAGGCAATATTTGGTACAACTTCCATAACTTGAGAGGTACATGGTCTAACAACTCCATGTCTTCATTCCTTTTTATTACCTTTTTTTGTTTGTTTAAGAAGGAATCATCAAGGAGGATTTTGAATTATGTGAACTAATGTCCAGGTCTAACATGGTTAATTAGATGCTAGTTCAATCTATAAACCCAAAACACATACTCAGAGTCAGAGGAGAGAGATTTTTTATATATTAATTATTACATTTTCTATATATATACTCAATTAAAATGATTGATCTTTTCCTGGATATAATATTTTATCCAAGATAATCAACCAACATTGACAAAGGAACCAAGCAAAGACCTCTTTTCTTGAGGTCTACAGCCAATCTATCAACCTCCTCCTTCCTTATCTCCGTGCAGGTCTCAAAGCCAACAATATCCTTCGCCTGAAAATACCAAAAATAAGGCGGAAAACTCACCAACTAAACTTAAATAAACAAACAAATTATAAAAATAAAGAAAGATTAACATTTCACTAAAATAAAGAAAGATTAACATTTCACTTACTCGTGAGATGTGACCTCTCTCATCTTTCTTCCTTTGATTCAAACTCATCAAGTGATTCATTTCACTAACCTATTAACAGAAAAGAACTAATTAATTAATTAATTAAAATTACAAGAAAATTAAAGAGCTCATGAGCGAACAGGCAAATTTAATAACTAACCTTTGGGCTATTTACAGGAGAACTAGCAGTGTCTTCCAAAGGGTCATCATCCAGAACCCCCCGGGCCTTCCTCTTCTTGAAGCCCAGCTTCTTTCTGCCCTCGGCTGCCGCCATCGCCGGAAACTTCCATGGAGCACAAGAAGCGGCATCAGATATCATAGAAGGAGAGCCACCGATATACCCATCTGAAATAGTGCAACTATCTCCTTCAAACTTCTCCTTCTCTGATGCAAAGAAGTCCTCGAAATACGTAGTCCATCCACTCTCCTCCTCGGTGGCGGCCGATGACTCTCCGTTGTTGTTCATGGAGGTTCTTGTAGAAGCCTCCATCAAGAGAATTGATAGCAAGAAGAAGCTCAAGAGAGTTGCTTATTTATAGCACTAGAGAAATTAAAGGAATTGTGGGGCGAAAGAGAGTTTTAGGGTTGTTTCTAGATGCATACTAATTATTTTAATAATATTTAAATATTCTCATATTCAAACAAAATTATCTTTTATACTTACTAGGGGGAGTGTATGACATTAATTTGTAAAAGAATAGAAAACTTCTTTGCAACATGTTAATTAATTAAATATCAGCGAATCCCTCCACATCACCGTAACATATAATGTGATGAATAGTAAAGATAATACGCACAAAATACTGTTCGAGAGTTATAAACTTAGCTAATAAAATTTAATATCTTCATTTAATATCCATTAGTTCTTTAAAAAAATTACGGATATTAAATAATTATTATGATAACATATGAGGTATATATGTAAATTACCTACTATTATTATATGATTATTACTTTGGTGGTGGGGTAGAGAGAGACCAGTGAGGGAGTTGGAGGAAGTTTGAAATGATGAAGCGGTTGCAAACATGGGACTTGAATGAAAAGGGTGAACGTGCCATGAGAAAAAACCAGAGGCGACTTTAGGCCCCACTTTAGAAAAACTTTCACACCCTTCTCACTTCCTTACATTTTTTTAAACCTTGTATTTAGGAGGGGTAAACGATAGAATCGAATCGAATACTAAGGCGTTCATATTTGTATTTATTTAAAATTATCGAATTCGAATGTGAACTCTAATATTCATATATCTAGTTTTTCGAATTCGAACTCAAATACTTGGTATTTGATAAATATTCATGAATACTCACGAATACTTATCGAATATCAAAGTATATTTATTCCTTTAAAGAATTTAATTTTCAAGTAGTATTAAAATTCATAAATAAAAATTATTCTTTTATAATATATGATGTGTATATATTTAAATGAAAATTTAATTACAAAATAGATTTTAGATTATTTAAGTCTTAAAATTGGTATATAATAATTAAGTAGAAATGATAAGTGGGTTAAAAATACGACATCATATATGCGATAATACAAATAATAGCCTATGATCAATTTTAAACGAATATTTAATAGACAAACGAATAGAATATACATCTGGTCATATTCTATTCGTTAGACAAACATCGAATACTATATATATATAATATATATATAATATATAATATATATTATATATGATATATATATATATATAATATATAATATATATATATATATTATTATATATACTATATATATATATACATATATATATATATATATATAAGAGAGAGAGAGAGAGAGAGAGAAGAGAGAGCAAAACTTTTGTCACTTAAGTGGACATCCACTAAGTTTCTTATCCATTGATGATCACTTGATTAGCTACATTATGGATGATCCGTTCCGGTAAACTTCATCTACATATTCTAAAACCCAACACACCAAATTTGGGGTGAACCCGTCGTAGTTTGACCCTTCATCCACTCGTATCAATTTAACGCGTTTCGAGTGAATAGAACTTTTACATGCTCGACGGAGGTCAAACCATAACGAGTTCACACCAAATTTGGTGTGTTGGGGTTTTTAGAATATGTAGATCAAGTTTAACGGGCGGATCATCCACAATGTAGCTCAATCAAGTGATCATCAATGATAAGAACTTAGGACGCTCACTTAAGTTGATAGGAGTTTTACTCTCTCTCTCTCTCTCTCTCTATATATATAATATAATAATATATATATATATATATATATTATAAATTATATATATATATATATATATATATATATTTATTGTTAATTGAACTACCGAATCGAATATGACCGAATAGTTATTCAAACAATTATCGAACTATTAATTTGTCAATTATTTAGTTCATTTCCACCACTACCTGTATTGGGTTAGTGTTGAAAATGTTGGCTAGCTCAATATTTTAGAAATTATCTGGGACTTGGCTGATGGCAGTTACGTAGTCGTTATTATAGTTAGCCAAAATTGACTATTAAGATGATGATGATGATGCAAAATTTTGTATATTAATTTTACAAGAACATCTTCATCCATTAATTCACTGTAATTTAATGGAAATAACTGAGAAGCATTCATTGTTATATGTCTTATCGTGAAAGAGAGTTTGAAAGTATAGACTTCTAAAATTTGTATATAAGTAACATCTTCAAAAAGAAATAAAAATAAGAATATTATGCTTGTGTTGAGAACCACTAATAACTTTGAGGCATATATATGTATATTTGTTCCATAACATTGATCCAGATTCTTTTCAATTAGGTGGTAATTAATTGAAGAGTATCCAACTCTTCTAATTATTGCTTTATATTAATTCCTAAGTTAAAGGATGAGATTAGACCATGAGATAAAATCACTATGTACTTGAAAACCACTAATTTTTGAAAATCACTATTCTTTAAAAACTACTATCACTAATCTTATGTGGTCTAATCTTGTCCATTGAAATCAAAATGTATGATAATGATTTTAGAAATTGGATCCTCTCTAATTATCATCTAATTAGATAGGATCCGTATGTGTTATGGTAATTTACCATTTAAAGATAAAGATGTCGAAAAATTGTCTTCATAGGTCCAAAAAAGCTATGGTCCAAACCAACTTAGTAGCCCAGAAGCCCAACCAAGAGCAAGTCTATTGACCCGCCGAGGAGACGAGTCATCTTTTACCGACACGGAGTACGAGATTAGTCGACCCCTCATAAGTCGAGACGACTCCCCAAATAGTCGGTTCGACCACCTTCTCGATAGTTTACTCGACCAGAAGCTCACTCGACTGACTGGTCGACAAATCATATGGACGACTCACAAATCGACCCGTCTTTACTAAGAGGATAAGATCCTTACTAAGCCACCTTCAGATATATATCAATCAACACCACAGTTTATTGAGCGATCCTATCAAGATCTCAACTCTGACAAACCTCGTGCGAGAACAGCTCACTCTGCCCACAAGTCACTTCCCAAAGATCACTAAGATACTCTCATGTGCTCGAATGACTTCCCCTCCAGTCACTAGCCACCATCTGGAAAGGGAAGGGGGCCCAAACAGTCAGCCTATCCTCCGTCCTGTCTCATCTATCAAATCCGGGATGTTTCCAAGGCATCCTCCTGTGCTCGAATGACTTCCCCGCCAGTCACCAGCTGACATCAGTAAAACGAATGATAACTCAGCAGCCTGTCTGCTCACCCCGCAACCGCCCTCCTATGCATAGTTAAAGCCAAATGTCAATCTCAGAGGCGATGGACTATAAAAGAAGGTAGGGAGGGAGAAAAAGGGAGACCATTTTAACTCTTTTAAGACTTGTGAACTCTTTTTTGGCAAAAGCTCAAAGCAATTCTAAAAGCTATGCCTTCTTCTAAAAACTCAATAAGAGTAATGAACACCAGAACCTCAATGATCCTTGGATCTTCCCTCAAGCCCCACTTAAGCTCATCAGTTGACTTGACCGTCGGAGGTACCACGGAGGAACCGGTCCCCGCCCTCTTACGGGTTTCTTCTTCTTATTTGTGCAGAAGGATCTGGAATTTCAGTCCAAGGATCGGGCATAAAGTCGGAGGATGAGTCGGCTCCATCTCTCATCTTCTCCCTCTTTGTCGTCAGTGCGAAGAGAAGAACTGCATCCTTCGGCGGAAAGACCCCATCGGCTGTTTGATATCAGACATCAACAGTATATATATAACATAAGTAAATTTAATAAGAGGTGGTTTCTTTAGTTTTGAGAAATTTAGTTCAACTATAATTACAAACTAGAATTACAAAGATCTTTGATCAATTTCAAAGTTGGCAAAATAAGAGAGCACTATCATATGCTGGAAGATTACGATTGATAAAATCAGTTATTTTAGGAATTCAACTCTTTTGGACTAGTAATTATATTCTTTCTATCAAAGTGCTAGAGAGAATTGACAGCATGTGCTCTAATTTCTTATGGGGACATAAATTTCACTTGGTAGCTTTGACCTCTGTTTGTCAAGATATTAAGCATGGTGGTTTGAGATTATTTTCTGCAAAATTTTGGAATTATACAATGGCAGCAAAACTCCTTTAGATGATACATCTCAAAAAAGATATTCTCTAGATCAAATGGGTTCACGACAATTATTTGAGGCAAGCTAGTATCTGGCAAGTTCAAGCTAAAAAGAGCGACTCATGGATGTGGAAGCAGATGCTAAGAGTAAGAAATATGCTGATGGATAAGCTTGGAACTGTGGACAGTTTGCTAACTATTATCAATGGAAGCTGCATCAATGATAAATTCAGTATTTCATTGGCATATAGAACAATTTTTCAGCAGCCAACATTGGTTGAATGGTTATCCCAAACATTCATTTATCTTATGGTTGACATCTCTTTCCAGACTCTTAACGCAAGAAAGGCTATGCAAAATGAGGATATTAAGCTCTAACCAGTGTGTTTTGTGCTCAAGAGATGGCCAAATAGAAGCCTGTCAACATCTTCATTTTGAATGCCAATATTCTGCATGTGTGTAGAATAAGGTAATGGACTGGTTGGGATTCAATTGGAAGTCTTGCTGCTGGAATCAGGTGATCGGCTGGTTTAGCATGAACTTGAGGGGAAGAAGCTACAAGAAGAAGTTGAAAAGAATTGCCTTGTCTGTATCAGTTTACATGATTTGGCAAGAGAGAAATTTTAGAATTTTTCAACAGAAAGCTCGGGGTCCTAATCTTCTATTTCGGTTAGTAAAGATCCATGTATATACGAAAAATTTTGAATGAAAATATACCACAACACATGAAAGAGTATATAGAGAGTTTGTAATTTGTGAAGACTGGGTTATATAACCAGTCTTTAGAGTCTGTATCTTGATGTGCTCCAAAATTTCCATATTTATTTATGAAATAAAAAATTTTATTGACTAAAAAAAAAGAATTACAAACTGGCTATACAGAGTTAAACCAACATTCTTTCTCCACTTACAGACTTCACTTACCTTTTACTTGTTGTTTAACATATTCATTTTCTTGATGAGGATTTGAAGCATTAATCATG